AGCAAACTAAAGCTGTGAACAATCTCAATCTCTTCACCATCTATCATGCTGCTGCCATTGGCCCAGTGGTGAGAATCTTTGTCTTCTTGATATTGAGCTTCAATCCATATGGGAAGCTGCAGTTCTTGACCCTCTGCAGCAAACACTTCAGGTCCTCCTCAGTTTCAGCAACCAGGGTTATGGCATCTGCATAATGCAGATTGTTGATGAGTCTTCCTCCATGCTGATGCCACATTTCTCCTCATAGAGCCCAGGCTCCCAGATAATCTGTTCTGCATATAGATTGAATTTTAATAATAGTGGTCTTATGCTTTAACAGTCCTTTTTCTGACTGACTTACTTCATTTGCTGTAATGTCCTCCAGACATATCCATATTATGCATCAATGTGCCATGGATTTTCTTGGGTTTTAGTTTTAAGACTCTACACAGATACACTATTTTAACAGGCAAGCAAAGCCTCTGTATGTTCTGTTTTCATTGTAGACATAAATGTTGTATGACTAGCCAGGACAACTTGTGCTAGTCCTATCTATCCTCTCCTCAGCCTACTGAGTCCTTGGGACACTAGTTCCTGTCCAACACCTGGGGTCCTTTGATAGGGAGAAATGTGTGTAATGGGTCAAGTGAGGGCTCATGATTATTACTGCCATTAAGTTTTCCCTCTGTCATTTATGGAGTTTTGAACATTCCCATAACTTTCTTCTTGGTTATATAAAATGTTAGTCCTTCTCTTATAATGATAGCCTCCAAAACCCCTGGCCACATTTCAAGACCCAAAAATAAAGGTAAACAACCCAATTGAAAGATGGGCATAAAATATGAACAGATACTTCACCAAAGAAGACATTCAGATGGCAAACAAACACATAAAGAAATTTCATGTGTTCTAAGAGAGATACAAATCAAAACAAGTATGAGATATCATGTCACCATAATAAGAATAGCAAAATTTAACAGAACAGCAAACAACAAATGCTGGCAAGGTTGTGGAGAAACTGGAACCCTTATTCACTGTTGGTGGGAGTGTAA